CAGGGGGGTGGGGGAGTCACCATCCCGGGGGGGGTTTGAGAGCCATGTGGACAAGGTGCTGAGGGACCTGTTTTAGTGGTGGGATTTGCAATGTTGGGTTAACAGTTGGACTTGATGATCTTAAAGGTCTTTTCCAACCTAAAAGATTCTAAGATTCTAAGCGTGCAGGTGTCATTTGGTGGGTTTTGTACTTGAGTTTAGTTTTACACTTCTCTTGCAGGCACAGTGGAGGAAAATGGACGACCATTAACAAACCCAGCCTGAATGGACCCGCTACTCAAAGCCCCTGTCCTGTCCCCATGGCTCACTCACCCAGAGGCAAACGCACCGTATTTAGGGAACAGCCAAATACCTCCTTTTCCAGAGGAACAGTGAGCACAGGCTGCAGCACTGCTGGCTCTGCTTTGTTAGGGAACACGGGAAAGGCAGGTGCTACCCACAGGTCCTGCACGCTCTGAGGTTAGGTCTGTGCAGGGGACGAGGCATGACGCTTCCTGTGTTTTCTCTCCAGTTTCTCAGTGGAAAGGGGGCTAAAGGTGGTCTGCCAGTAAGTGAGCCTTGCTGCTCCATTAAGGATAAGAAAATAATAAGAAAGGCTAGATGTGCTAAAGTGTTTTAATGCTGAACACAGACCTGAGCCACAACAGCATTTGCTTTCTACTTTAGATCTCTGAACCATGCCCCTCCAATCCTTAAAATAGGCCACCATACCGTGCCAGCTGTCATTTGTTTTCACCTGTTGGAAGGATTTGAATTACTGAGGAGATTTAGCATAGAGTACTCACAGCAGCAGCGTTGTCAAACCTGATCGTTTATCACACTAATAATGATCAGAGAGCAGACTTTGTCTTGACATTTCTGTATCAATACTGATTGATTATACTCAGTGTGGGACTAAAAAAAATTAACACATTGGCCACAAACAGTGTAATACAACCCAGAAAGAGAAAATACCAGGTGCTAAACACATTAGATTAAGTGCAGTTGCTAGATATTTGTTATTCTGTTTATGAAGGTATGTTTTCTGTGTTACATATTAGCTGTATAACACACGTGCCACATTGCATGCTCTGAAAGAAAAGGGTATGGAGTTTATATTAGAGTGTCCACCTGGCAACTGAAAAATAAATGAAAATGATCCTTTCCATAGCTGAATTTTTGAACAGCTGTGATTTAGCACAAACCCATTTATTCCCAAGGATCCAGAGACGACGCAAGGGCCAGCGGCTTGCTACTCTCTAACTGATTTGAACAAAAGTAATTCTATTACAGGGTAGAAAAGCTTTAGCAAATTCAATTACTGCTGCAGTTATTTCATTTGTTTTGCAGATTATGGTTGAATTACCGTTGGAAATGAGAACAAATGCAGTGATGTTGTCACTTATTTACCCAAACGTACTGGGATTCAGCCCATGGATACTCCCATTCAACTCCAAAAGTCAACGGATACATGGCAATCACCAACACAAAGTGGCAAGACTTGGAGGGCAAATAAACACTCATGAAAGAGGCCCTGATTCAGTGCTGTATGCCGTGAAGAAGGCACATAGGCATGACTAGTATGAGTAACAATTCGGATGTTAACATAAAAGACCACTGAAATTCCACATAAGGCTGTCAAAATCAAAAACATCCCTTAGGATCGTGCTATAGTTTGGAGGCATTAACACTGGGGAGGAGCACTGGAATATCATAAGGGAGCACCATGTGATTTTGAGGAGTGGACTAATAGGATTGGGATGAAATTCAACATTACTAAATGCATAAGCATGCACTTGGGGACTAATAACAGTCACAAACTACAGCAACAGAAATGGAATGAAACTTCATATTATTAATTGAAAGATCACACCATTCAAAACTGTATTTGCTATGACCTGGAAGACCTTGAGTTGACAACTGAGGAAAAGGCAGCCTGGTACCTGTATCACGTGGTTTAGGATGCCAGCAGGAAGCACTATACAAAAGAGAAGTATGCTCTATTGTATACTGCCAGTCAAGACAGGAACTATCGTTTTCCTTACACATCACTACAATCTCACCTGGAACAAGAGCGCATAGTGCCAGTGACCCACATTTTGCCAAGTTAAGTGAAAACACGAAGCAGTGCCGAGAAAAGACACAAGGATAAAGAGGATGCATTGTGACAATGGAGACTAGAAGAAGTGGGCTGGTTTAACCGTGCAAAGTCAAGGCTGGCAGGATATGACCTCCTTCTGGAAATGCACCATAACACTGAAGAGAGACGGAGATATGAGGCAGAAGTCCCGCTTGATCTTCAATGAAATATAGTCCAAGAATACACTGGCATAAACTTCCCATAAACTAACAAGGACTGGAAATTAGAGAAGTTGTTAAGCACAGGAGGGCAGTGAGGTTTTGGAAGAGCTGGAAATGGGGAAAATGCCTCACTAATGTAAACTGGAACTTACAGAGCGATACCTGGCAACTGGGCACTCAGAGACCCAGAAGAACCTTTCCATCCCATGCTCCTGCACTGCAGTGCCTGCTCCCCTGCAGACATGGTGTCTGGAAGTCACAGACTGCCAACGTCATAACCCGGCGCCGGCATAAACTCACGCGTTTGCAGCTCTGTGTTAGCAACATACACCCCTGAAGCGTGAGATCTCTGTAAACGTCCCAAAACACGCAGCAAGGTTTTCATGCAAGGTAAGCAAGGAGCTGAAAGAAACCTCATTTGACCTGCACCTTCCTGAAGAGACATCCCGTATATCAAGGCTGAGTTCAATTATGTTTGAAATTACGGATAGAAAAGTTAAATCTCTTTGTGGAAGAAAACAAAAAAGACCCCTTTCATTTTCACAGAGCAATTTACACACACTGTTCTCTTGGTCTTTTGAGACAGAAATAGAATTGAAACATTTGAACTCCAACAGCACACTGAAATATATTAAATCTTCTTACCAACAAGAGGGGAAGTTCCCCTCTTCTTCCAGAACTCCAGTCCAGCGGGAAATAACAAGGAGTTCACATCCACATGCTGGTGTCTGCACACCACTGCACAGACTTGGTGCAAATCACCTCTTAGCATTCATAATCCCTGGATAAATGTGATTTATGCTTGTGGTATATGACCGCAAAAGGGCAGGAGAACTCACGGCTTGATTCACGCCAGCAGGCGCTGTCATGCTGCAAACAGCCTCTTCAACTACAGCAAATGCCAAGGTCAGCTAACCCAGGCCATGAGGATGACTGGAGGAGCTCCAACGTCTCCTCTTCGAATTTTTCAAAGGTAAATACTCCCATATGTAATACTGAGTTACAGTAGGTAAATGTTTTTCTCTGTAGTTCAAAGCAATATGCCAAGACTTGTTTCCCAGAAAAACAGCCTCAAAACAGAACGTGTCACAAACACTGCACATTCTCCACTAACACCACCGCTGTGAAGACCTGTCCACCTCAACTGAAATTACATGTTTTCATACATAGGTGCTTGCAACTCAGTACTTCAACATAAAAGCACTAGTTGGTGTTTTCTAGAGGTAGATATGCTTTGTGTTTATCTTAAAATCAGGCCATTTTTATGTCTGTTTATCAGATTGAAAATTTTGGCCCCAGCTGCAGCAGCCCCACATTACTGACAGCTTCTACAGCTCTCCAGCCAATGAAATTGAGAAGGGTTTTGCATGGAAGACGACGGAGTCGCAGAGTGAGTAACAACAGCTGATTTCTTGACATCAAAGGCTGCCACATGAAACTGGATGGGTTACCACACTGAAATTCAACCTGGTTTTGTCCCAGCAAAGGGATCCCAAGCCAGGTTTTCAACTGCCTTGCAGGCAGTCCCATGAGACAGACACGTACCTGCTGGTGGCCAAGCCTTGATATAGCCAGTGCAATGGACAACAGCATACTGTGCTTCACCTTCTTTTACTGGGCCAAGGCCATTCCTACATGAAAAGGAAACACAAAAGTATCACGTTGACTGACATACAGAATAGCTTTATGTTTTTAAACTACTACTAATGATTTAGTCATATTTGTAAGTTAGAAACAGCCAACTGTCAACCTAGAGTTCTGTACAATGTCAGCTCCATTACAAAGCTATTCAAGCCTTACTTATCTTCCATAATACCTGGATAAAGATACTGAAGCTTATTTCAGAGATGGAGCTGGCTAAGACAAAGAAGTTGAGTGACTCGTGCAAGGCGTGCAGAAAGATCCAGTGACTCTGCCACAGCTGAACGTAGTGGAGAGTTCTCCTCTCCTGAGACCAGTGCGATTTTACACTGTGGGCCAATGTTTGTCCAGGGAATACTCCTTCACTGAGCACCAGCCCAGTGGAAAATGAGAGTGCTTATGGCTACTGTTGCAGTAAATTAAGTAATAGTACCTGTATCTTTTTCTCATGGTGGTTATTCTGTTCAGAGGTAAATGATCCAGAGGAGCATTTCCACACCTAAAAGTAAATTAATATTTGAAAAGGCTCAAAAATGAGTGTAAATACCCAAGATATAAATGCATTTCCAGATCTTTATCAATACATACAAGTAGACAAAAAAGGGTATTTATTTCTGACAGAAAGTCGCAGATTCATATTTTCTTAGAACTTTCTGCTTCCACAGACTGAGCTTTTTGGGTGTGCTACAAATATTTTCTTTAGTTTATAAAGAAAAACAGAAGAGACTACAAAAAGATTCCCTCCTGCCCCCCCAACCTACAAACTAATAGATATCCCAAGAGTGACTAAAGAACAGATACACTTCAAAATACTATAAAACAAGGGTGAAAACTAGAGAATGTAAGTCAAGCCCCCAAATATCCACGTAAAACAATCTCAGTGTTCCGTTAGCTTCCCTGGACAGGGCACTTCAAGTGCCATACACCAGGTACGATGTCAGTAGATATCAATCTAATGTTTGCAAGAACTTCCTATTTATGCTATCAAGTAACTTTGTTTAACACTTGCTCATGTATATTTTGTGATATTTCTAACCATGCCTAACTGTATAATTTTAACAATCCACTTGAGGCTAAGTAAATAGTTTGAAGGGTAAAACCAGTTCATTTTCAATGGAAAAAAGAACAATAACAATGAAAGAAGTAATCACAAGGAAAGCTCACATTATCTGAGGCTCATTCTTCCCACAATTTTTTTTTAATTATTATTATTCTTTTTTTTTCCTTTTTTTTTTTTTTTACCAGTCACTGCGGAGGAGAAGGAATGAACAATTAAAATGAGAATTAGAATTACAAAAACAATGGGGCTACTGGCATGACAAAATTACTCTCATGCACTGGAGTTTACTCCAGTTTACTGGAGAATCAGGGTGCTAGGAAATAACTGCAATGTGAATTGCTGTTTTAAAAGCTGAGGAAGAACTGTAAACATTAGGGACATTCAGCCTGGTTTTCTTTGCATCAGAGAAAAAAAAAAAGTCTTCCTCACATGACCACTCTGTGCAGCTTGGAAGAAGAGAAAACAACGTTCCAAGCGTCCCTCTGCCCGGCTGTATTTCTTCCCCCCACTGGTTAAGGGGGGGAAAAGGAGCTACACCTCTGAAGTCTAATCTTGCAGGTGTGAAGCATATGAACTCCTCACAAAGGTGCCCAAGAGCCACACATTCAGCTTCTTCATTCCACCACATAACTGAAGTACAGGGATCTGGTTTAATGTGTCAAATATTTTGCTTTGCGTGGTTCATTCCATAATAAATTCTGCATCATCTGTTTTCAACACGTGTATTTGGTATAGGCTGTAGATGCTATTATGTACTTTCCCCTCCTAACCACACAGAGAGAAATTTATTGCAATAGCAACAGGCATTTTATCCTGTTAGAACACCAAGAGAAGTGCCCACAAGATGCAGTCAGAAACACTGGGCAGGCAGATCTCTTTAAAGAAGGACAAGCAATGCAGGAGAAGTTGGAAAATTGCAAAATAAAACCCCTCTAACAATTACTCATTTATCTAGCATCAACCAGCTGCCATTCGGTTAATTCATACCAGGCTTAGGTTAATTCCTACATAGCTGGCAAGTTTGCAACTGAATTCCTGTTTGTCTTCAAGATCCTTTTAATATTATTGGTTTGCTGAAAAAATATACAGAGTTGGGCTTTCATTACACTTGCAAAAGCTTTGTTCCCGAAGTACTGATTCAAATAATTTGACTAGAAGAGACAATGGCTTACATTCCAGGGGTGAAGTTGTCATGAAGTTCTCTGGGGAAAGCATCCTACACCCCAGACTGATAAAAATAACTGCCACACACAAACGAGGCGCTGCTCTGTCATTAATCACGAAGGAAGACAGGTTTCAGTTTTACTGTAGTTCCAAAAGCAAGCCTTCTGGCAATGCTTAATGGGAGTGTGTTGTACAGCCTCGTTCCTTAAGCAAGGTCAAATCAGTGCAACAAAATGTCTGAAGTCTCATCTGAGAGGGGACGGAACTCACCACAGGAATACAAGGTAAATGCGTACCTCATCCTGCAAATGAAAGAGCGCCTTGATCCCATGCACATTCTCATGGAGGACTGCTGACCCTCTTTCTTTACTGTTCCAGTCTTCAAGTCGAGGATTCGTCCTAGAAAACCCAGGGAGAGCAACTGATGTTCAGTACATAATTCCATTTACTACAAACTAAGATGACAATAAGCTCATGAGCTAAATGCTATTAGCCCCGTTAGGGGAAAAAATACCAACGAAAAATTTTGATCCTGGTCCCACATCGTTGTGTGCTGGCTTAACTAATGATTCCAGTGAAGCTGACTGAGTCACAACTCTTCTCTTGGTTGGCCCCAGACCAACTTCCAAGGCAGGGTCAGAGGCCTGGAGGCAGAGGAGGCAAGCACAGCTTTCTGACTTGACCTGCTCGCTCCGCTCTTTCCGAGAACTGTGGATAAAGCCACATGCATCACATCCCTAACAGCCACTCCTCTCTCCCTGTGCTCCTGTGTCGGTCCAAAACGCACCGTACACCACCTCACGTATCCAGGGCTGCACTGCCTGTGACGAATACTTAACACCGAGCTTTTCTCCTGGATGATGAGATACAGGATATGCCACAGCAGCACTTGTGGTGGGGCCCTTTCAGCGTTTTTTTGAAGTGAACTTTCAGCCGGATCAGTGACATGATCTGACTCACCATGAAGCCACACGAGTCTATGGAAGTTCCATGGCTGGACCCTACTGCTCAGCATACCCTGACTACAAACCACAGAATGTCACCCCTAGACACAGCACTGAAAACAGATGGCAGCAACCAAGTCCCCTCAAGAGAGAGCAGGACGGAGGGAGCTGAGCTGATGCTCCTACAGTAAGTTGGGGGAGGTCTTTACTGAAAAACAGACGTAGCAAGGCAGTAACAGATTGATTTTTCCACCCTCCTGCGACAAAAGAAAAGGCAGTGATTGCACCAACAGGTTCAGACCAGTGATGGTAGGCTACAGGGTATCACCTAGAGTCCTGTTGTTGACCACCAAAAACTAACAGAATGGACTTTTGCATCTACGCCTCAATTGCTAACAGATTACTATAAAGTCCTGCACATCAGTAACACAGACTAGAAATGAATCACTGGCCCAGATCCACAATGCCTCAGGGCTGGATACAGCTGCCAGAGTGACAGTGGGTAAGGGAAACGCCATGGAACAGCCACTGGACACAAATTACATGACAGCCACCAGTGCTGATGACACATGGCCATCAGCAATGCTACACGTTTAAAGTTGGTACAGAATCTTTCAATAACTGAAACCAGCCCAGCCGAGGCCTTTACTGTGACATAACTAGCCAAGTTTACAGCAGTGTAAGATACCATATGCTGTGCTAAACTGAGGAAACCATGCAGAAATAGTCTCCCTCATCAGATTTCCTCAAAAGTCTCTGTCCAAAAATTAAGTTCTGAACTAATCCTACTGACAAACATTAATTTCAGAATTATTTTAACTGAAAATACTTAACTCCATCCATGAAGGGGAATAAAATCACTATGAAACAGTTTAACAGTTTATTTTAGATAAGGAACTAGGCAGTGGTGTTTTAAGGTATACTGAGGATTCCTCTGGAGGAAAGCCATCCTTGTCGACAGAAGGTCAGACTGTGTCATCTGGCGTATCACCAAGGCGCACCTCAGATGGTTAAGAAGTTAGCAAGCCTGGGAGCAATTCCTAAAGACAAACCAATGCAGAGCACTGGGTTATATATTAATGCAGATGTATGAATCAGGCCTGAGCTGGGAAAAAGCATACCATACATCCCAGCTCAGTTAGGGACCCTATGATGTAGATCTGGGGTGAAATGCACTTCCTTTCCCTGCAGGAGAGAGTCTGTCTCTCTGTCTCATCCATTTCTATATCCAAAGTCACCGCCTATTTCCCCATCCCCTCAATTAAGCACACAACGCAGAGAAATAAAATATCATTAGGCAGGAAGCAAACTGTCTCACAAATGAAGGCAATACATGATGAAACAAATAGAGACAGAATACATATATATATATATATGGACAGGAACCAATGACTGTCCATATGGGCATACAGGCAAATAAAAAACCATTAAAAGCATTTTCGTCTTTGGACACAATAACTTTGTCATACACATAAACAAGAGTTTCTGTGCCCTATTTTTTTCCATTCCAATATAAATTCCTGAAGTACCACTAATAATCAGAAAGCAGTGACCGTAAACGTAACTCAAACGGCTAATAGAAACGCCTCAGGTTTTATCATCCAAGAGCATTTACAGCAATAAGTACACCTCACCATTACGTGGCTGCTAAGCCTAAAATTGCTGACACATGTTCCTTTGGCAAGTCTGGAACCCCCGACAACAAAGTCACAGTTTTTAAATTTAGCTTTTTGTTTGGCAACATCTCAGAAGTATGTACCAGATAACAAATAGTAGCCTAAATTTTGCCCTGACTTACAAAATCACTGCAGGGGGTATGTGGGGGTATGAGTCAGAGAAACGTTTAGTCCATAGATAGAGCAGCTTGTTTCAATAGTCTGTCGGGCGTGTGTTAACCAAGTAGTGCAGATCTGATAAACAACAAGCAGTGTGCATCTCATACCTCATCAGCAGCTTATGATCAAGTCATATTAAAAAGAGGAAGAATTGTAGTTGAATAGACTACAGACAAAGCTTTCAGTTTAGCTCAAACAAGCCTGTCAGTGCACTCCCTGGATAAGAGGGATCTCCTAAGACACGGCACACCAGGCTCTGCTGGAGCTTTTAAGTTAATAATATTGGTGTCACCAGGTGGGTAGAGCCTACTGGGAGAGTAAACTGGGAAACAACTCGCTGTGAGGTCTGTATGCAGCCCATGCAGCCGTGCGGCACAGGTAAATGTCCTCTCTGGAGAGAGGAACGGCCTAACAATCCCAAGTGCTTGCACGCCGTGTCTGCCTGCAGCACCGCGCACACAGCCCCAGGAGCTTTCTCTGCTTGGAGCGCTCTTCTGCTTAATGACGGCAATCTGGGCACAGCGGTACCCCCTTCATTTTCGTGCTAACTGCACAAAAAAATCTTCACTTCTAGACCCAGATTTACAGTGTTTAGCTTTTACCACATTATTCTAAAGAAATGCAGAGAGATGGAAAACGGTGAAGTCAGGACAAGCTGGAGTTGTACCAGAGTATCACAGCCGTCCGGCTCGGGGGCCCCCAACAGCAGAAGGATATCAATTGTTGGAGTGAGTCCAGAGGAGGTCACCAAGATGCTTTGAGGGCTTGAGCCCCTCTGCTATGGGGACAGGTTGGGAGAGTTGGGGGTGTTCAGCCTGGAGAAAAGAAGGCTCCAGGGAGACCTTAGAGCCCCTTTCAGTGCCTGGAGGGACTACAGGAAAGCTAGGGGGTACTTTTTACAAGGGTCTGTAGTGACAGTACAAGGGGTAATGGGTTTAAATTGAAAGAAGGAGATTGAGATTGGACATCAGGAAGAAATTCTTCCCAGAGAGGGGGAGGAGGCACTGTGACAGGTTGCCCAGAGAAGCTGTGGATGCCCCATCTCTGGAAGTGTTCAAGGAGATGTTGGATGAGGCCTGGAGCAACCTGGTCTAGTGGAAGGTGTCCCAGCCCATGGCAGGGTCTTTTAAGGCCCCTTCCAACCTCAACCATTCTGTGATTCTCCCCAGGTTCCTCGCCACTACACACCTGACTCTGAGAAGGGGATGGACCCACACTGCTCTGCTTCTGCCAGCACGGAATTGCAAAATCATCTTCTACCGATGTTGGATGAGGCCTGGAGCAACCTGGTCTAGTGGAAGGTGTCCCAGCCCATGGCAGGGTCTTTTAAGGCCCCTTCCAACCTCAACCATTCTGTGATTCTCCCCAGGTTCCTCGCCACTACACACCTGACTCTGAGAAGGGGATGGACCCACACTGCTCTGCTTCTGCCAGCACGGAATTGCAAAATCATCTTCTACCTGCTGTAATATTTCTACAGTTCAGTCATATGATAGACCTTGGCAGGTTCCATGTTTCAGTCAAGCAAACTGGCATAAATTGCAACTCAGTGTCAGGGAGACAGCTCGGTTCAAGGAGGTGGCACGCTCTGATGATAGCTCTGTCACAAAACCATAAAATATTCCTGTCTCCGTGTGTTCCTGCATCTGGTACACTGGTGCTGCTACCTTGGTGATAAATGCTCATTTAGGTTTCTCCACAGGTAACACATACAAGTGCATTTGATGTAAAAGTTGACGATTATATTCTTATCAATAAGAAATACTCTAGGATGCTCTGACAACTGCTAATTGAATACTGCACATGTGCATTTTCTTTAATTTCTTCTTCTAGTTTCTTCAGAAGAAGAGTTTTAACAATCCACCAGCTGGATCCCTTATGAGCTTCCCCATTAATCGGTAATTGCATGTAGTTCATTTCCATCTTAAACTTTTCCCCTCTCCAGCTCCAGACACAACCCTCAGATACAGCAAGTGCAGGATGCGTGTCTCTATGTTATTACCATTCACAGCAGCTGCACAACTCAGAGGAAACCAGAGTTTGCTCTGCTGCAAAAGAGAAAGTAAATAAGCGAGCACACTGCTTATTAAACCCAGCACATAAATCTCTCCAGCTGGTCTGGGTATAACTGATCATTTGGTGAAATCTACCTGCTACAGTCCTCATTCAGAAGGCAGCACTGCTTAAGCCTGTAACAAACCCGTTGTCCCCTGAGCAGGAATCCACCACGCAACCCAGGAGCCTGATGTCAGCCACTGTTAGAGGAAAGGGCTGTCAGAGGGGACCACAGAGTTGAGGACCTTGAGCAAGAGATGAATTATTTGCGTAAAATTAGAGAAGCCACATGAAGTTTTCCCACTAAAGATCTTGCTCAGTAACCAACTGAGGATACATGACAAGAACATATCTCCTTTGTGTTAGGCTGCAGCGTGTTTTCAAAGATGCTCTAAAAAGGTTCTCATAGTGATCAGGGGGACACATGCCCATATTGGCACCGATTTGCCCCTTTGTGTGCAAACTGAACAGATTACGCAGGAACACTCCCCTCTTGGATCTCCCATCCCTACTGTGAATGTCCAAATACCTTTTCTGTGCTCGCAGTGTTTCAGATGAACATAAG